TTTTTCTTTGATTCTCATTGTAAGTTGCTCATCCACCCGTCTGGATTTCCCTTCCCGGCATTATGATGAATGATTCTTCCAAGAATTCTGCAATTCTCAAGTTCCCTCGGGCAACCGAGGCTCACTGTGGACTATCAACACATTACTATTTCCCTGACCCGCCATGTCACCAAATTACTATTCATAGACACTAGAGTGTTTGAAGGATTGGCCTGCTGACATGAACAAGTTCAACAGATTTAGAGCATTTGTGATAGCACACCAATATTGGCAAAATAGAAGCAACAAACTATGATTTCATTATTATTCGCAGCACCTGAAATCTCCATTTATTCTGTGACTGTTTTGCTCATCACTTCATGGTATTTCTTCGTTCTCTCTCCTCATCCTGAGACATTTGTCCACAAACATGGGAGGTAGCTTAGCGTCCGTCTCCTCTTACGTATCGGTAGGAATCCAGTCAGGATACCTCGCACCCTTGACGTCGAACTTTGCCAGCGTCGCATCAATCTCATCCATCTCCTGATCCGTCAGCTCCACGAACACAGCGTTCTCGTTGACTCGCTCCACCGTCGTGGCGCCGGGGATGGGGATGATCTCTGGCATGCCCGGCCGGCGCGACAGGCACCGTGTCCAAGAAATGGCCAACTGCGCGGGCGTGCAACCCTTCTTCTTGGCCATCTCCTCAACCTGGCGGACAAGCTGGAGATTGATGTCGAAGTTCTCCTCGGAGAAGCGGGGGAAGTGAAGCAACATTGGGAAGGTGGAAAGATCGTCACGCGATTTGATCTGGCCGGTAAGAATCTGTTGTTGCCGTAGGTGGTTAGCTGGCACTGCCCCCGGATCAAGTGAAGACATGAAAGTGATAAGGAAAGAAAAACTTACCCCTCTTCCCAAAGGACTATAAGCAATCAACGGAATCCCATACTCCTTGCAAGCCGCCGCCACCCCATTGTCCAAGACCTCCGTCGCAAACAAACTCAGCTCTACCTCCACGGCCACCACCTTCGTAATCTTGACCGCCTTGTGAATCGTCTCCGCGCTAACCTCACTCAAACTGATTCCCCCCAACAGTCCCTTGTCGATATACTCCTGCATAACCCCAAACGTCTCCTCCATGTCCACCTTGGGATCACGTCTGGCAGCCTCAAAGATATCCAACTTTTTGCGTCCGTTCAACTGCTTGATTACGGTATCCAAAGATCGGCGGACTTCGGTCGCGGATCCGTCGGGGTGCATCCCGTCGACGCCGCCACAGCCTTTAATGGAGAGGACGACTTTGTCGGCGTCTTCTGGGTAGAGGGAAAAGTAGCGCTCGAGAAGGATGGGCGAGTTGTACGGGGGTTGCCCGTAGAATTCGCCGCCGTTCCAGAAGTTGAGGCCGTGCGAGAGGGCGGCGCGCATAGTAGCGAAGGCTTGCTCCTGGGGAACGGGGTTGGGGCGCCAGGTGAAGCCTGTGTGGTTGTTAGTTTCGGATTGGCGTTTGGAAGATGTGTGAGGGAGAGGGAGACGACGAAGACTCACCCATGAGGCCGAAGCCTGTTGGCCCGACTTCTTTTCCGACGAGTTGAGGCATGTTGCCGGGTTGTGTTGACTGAAAATGAAGGATTTCTTTTGCTTGATGTAGATGGTTATGTTGTGATCGTAGTGAACGTGTGATCTTGGCTTCAGATGAGGGTGGCAGCTTCAGTTCTTATACATTACCCCCCATACGATATCTTAGTCAGACTTCAAGGGTCTTTAATAAACCTGTCGCTCATTCTCGGAATCTCTTCTTTGGTACCGATCCCAATTCAGACCCCGCCCGTTCTCCATCACATCGCCTCAGAATCACAGTTCCCCGAATTATCTGACCCCGCGGCCGGGAGATCCATGACGTCTGAACCCCGCGGGCTCCCTTCGTGGCGGGTGGTTCGGCTCGCCGCGTCCCGCCACCCGGACTTTACACAAGGAACCTTGCTGTTTTGGGAAATAGAGATCTAGACCGCAAAAGAACATCGAGATTCGAGACGTCGTTAGTTGCTTATCTCCGGAGCGCGGTGTAAAATCCGAGTGGCTTGTAACCGGGGCCCGCGGCTTTCCGCTATTCAGTGTCATCGCTTTTCCTCGTTGAACTGGGTTTTGATCCCACGTTGTATTCTACCGGCCAATTGGGTGGTTTTACTTTGTGGGCTAGGGAAGCTCAGGCGTCGAACGACGTGCGTGTCTTCTCAGTAAATCGATTGGCCATAGAGCCTAGCGATAAGATTCAGTTGAATGAGAATTGCGGTACCGATGACAGTGTCTCGCTGTCCAGTGTTAGGTAGTTACTACCAGTCAGTAATGGAGCCGGGTATAAGGGTGATGGCTAATATGTAAGCTGACGGGGCCCCAATCTGATGCTTTGTTTTGCACCTTCTCGGATGTCGGGTTGGTTGGTAATGAGGCTGAACTGGGAGAGAATGGAAGCTGTAGGCCAATCTCTGGTGGTCTATGGTGCAGAGCTGATCGGTTGATCACGAGTATCAAATGTTATTGGGTTCACTCTTCAAGAACTTGCTGTTCATGTTTATGTCAGTGACCTCCACTGTCTCATAGTCCTCCACAGGCACATATCGCCCATATACGAAACGCACACTCTATTACAACGAGTACATATTTCTAATCCATAGGCCTCCATCAATATCTGCTTACACCCTCATCCAAAATCTACCAGCCTCTAGATCTCGACCAGCCGCGGAACATCCGGCAACCGTACCATACTCCCGCCCTCATTCTCATCCTCACAAGTCGCCTTCATGTTACCCGGGATCGTGACTACCACCTGCCCCTGATCCTGCTTTGGAGCATGCATAGACGCCGCAAGGCCCTTGACCGGCTTCCTCTCACTGAGTCCCTCCTTCTCCTTTCTCTCATCCGTTTCACCACCCGCTCCACCATCGCCTGCAACGGGCTTCCCCGTCGCAGCATTCAATGCCGCCCCCGATGAAGCCCCGGCACCGGCATCGACAACGGCAGGAGTAGAACCACCCCCAACCGTTTCCCCTCCAGAACCAGCACGTCTCTGATCAGCAGCAGCACCCCCCTTCTTACCCCCGTCATCAGCAGTAACAAGACTTACCGTCCCATCCTCGTTGAACGTCACCTTGACATTCTTGCGGTTTCTATCCAGTGGCGTCTTTTCTCCCTTACGCTCAAATCGCTGTTGGGACTGCTGCTGCTGCTGCTGCTGCTGTTGTTGCGATTGTTGTTGTTGGCCAGAGACACCACCATGTCCATATCCATGCACCAACAACGCATCAGCCGGATGACGAAGCGGGTGGTGAGGACTACCATATCCCGGGGGAATCAGCATGGAACTGAGGAGGCGGAGGCGTTGGTTGAATTCCCGCTGTTGGGCTTTGAGTTTTCTGTTGCTTAGTTTTTTTGCCGTTGCTGGTAGTGTCATTCCAGACAAATTTGGGAGCATGTGATGGGGGTTATGGGCCATGGGAGTGCAAGGGACGGGTGGAGGAGGAACAGAACCACCACCACCACCACCACCACCACCACCAACACCGGCAGCAACAGCAACAGCAGTCTGCTTTGCCTTGCTAGACATCCCGATACCAGTAGCAGCAATCCACCACGCAGGAATCTCACAGAGGCCAACCTCGAGAAGACCTTCAAGCGTGGTGGGCATGGCGTGCCTGTGACGGCAAAAGGTGCCCCATTTGCAGGTGCCGTGTTGACACCAGTGGCGGCAGTATTCCTGGAAAACCGAAGCAGAAGAAGCGGCAGCGGGTGTAGTATTAGAGCTGTTGACACCAGGACCGGTAGAACTGGGAACTACCGTAGGAGGGCTGGCAGCAGGTGTTGCGACATCGGTTTTGGCAGCAGCGGGCTTGGGTGGTGTAGCCATTGTGTTGTGGGGAACGCTTGCCCTTTGATCCGCAGTGCTTGTAGTGCCAATAGGGGACATGTCGTCTCGGTGGACAGTCGAATGACTACGAGATGCGAACTGGGGAGAAGGAGGTGGGGCGAGTAAGGCAGAATGACGGCTGGCATCCTGTGCTTCGGTCTCTCGGGCGATGCTCCTTTCGACCAGATCGGCCCATCGCATTGTATGCATTGCCTCATCTTCGGCGCGGGTCATCCTGGGCGGGTTTGTGCTTGTCGATGCCATGCTAGGGTGAGGAATATGCGGAGATTTTTCCTGACAAGAAGAGGAATGGATTATACTGGAATCACTTCCGGTGGGACCTGCTGGTGTGTTATACGGAACTCGCTCTGAGTGCTCAGGATGAGCCATGGTCCGCTGTCCAGGAGCGCAAGCACCCCTTGAGACCAATGTGGCTTTCGACAAGTCTCTCCACCCAAATTCCTCATGGGAATTAGGCTCGATGATCCGTACCCGATATGTGCCTTCGTTGTGCGGGACAATACCGAGGTTATAGAGCCCCGTGGTCTGCTCGACCGTCAGCTCTCGAGGTAGGCCAATGTCAATCCAGTCGGGAAGCTCGTCCACAGCAATCAAGGGGACCATCGGACCTTGTTTTCTATGAATTGCTCCGGTGTCATTACGCAATACCTCAGTGTCAGGTCGGGCAACAAAGAACTGAGGTTGCGGTACCATGGTGAGTGAGTGAGGTTGACTGACGTCTTGGTATCTGGCGAGACAATTAATGGGAGGTAAAGAGATCCTAAATCACTCGGGCTGTGCGTATGGCCGCGGGAGGAGCAATAAGACTTGTTCGAATTGGCTTGTTCTGACTATAGACGTTAGCTCGAACTGAGGGCAAAAGATCCAACTTTATAGGGTCATGTCTGGCGTGCCGTGACGTGCTGGCTATCACTTTGTCAATACAGGTTTGCTGCAGCTATTTTACCTGACAATCCTCAGAGAACTTGTCAAGCGCTAAAGCTTTGAGTGAACAAACAGATAGACGACCCTTCAAACACACGAGAGAGATGGGCTGGAAGGGCCGGAACAAGCGCTTCTAACAATCGTATTTGGATCGCTGTGGTGTGTCGAACATGATCGGTTGGTGACTGGGATTACACAAATGCCGATTGTCTAACATGAGGGCATTGCTTTCGCGTTATCTTCAGCGCAGTTCGACCCTGAGTTTAGCCTCAAGGCCATCCACGCAGTAACCAAATTGGCGAGGACCATCCTTCAGCTCAACTTCGCGCCTCACAAATCTTCCACCTTTCTTTCCGGCTATAGATGTGCCTGCGAGAGAGGCGGCATCATCCTGTCTGCGCTCTCTCTCTGCCTCTATCTCCTCGTCTTCACTACTGTCACCATCGTGATCGTCGAACCCACCAACTGGGTCCCATTCGCCAGTCTCCCACACCAGTCGTAGCTTCAGAGGCGGCAAACCAAACATTCTCCCCGCAATTCCCTTGACTGCATAAATGTCAAAAGATTTGGGTATCTGCACGATCCTCTCTTCCGTTGATGTATTGACGCCTGACTCACTGGACGCCAGCTCGGCTAGGTAAAAGTGGACAGTAATCAGCCTTGCTTCAAGGTAATTCGGGTTGATGTCCTGTTGACGGGATACTGCTGGCTCGCCGTAGAGGTCACATAGCTCAGCCCAGCGTCGATGACGTGCCAGCACTTGGGCTTCTTCTGCCTCCGCGGTGGTTGACAACTGTCGAGCTATGCGAGAAAGGTAGTACATTTCAGCGTTGGTACGGTCCGCGGCAGTGATATTGCTGAAGTTGAGCGTCCTGATAGACGGGAGGCGCGCGACCATCAGCATGAATGCTTCATCACTGGCGGCGGTGCCCTTCTTCGAGCTGTCTGTTTCCAAAACAGCTCCATCCTCGAGTCCCGGATTCTCGTAAATTGGATTGTGGGAGAATCGCAAGGAAGTCAATCCGGGGAACACGTCGAGAAGAGCGTCAACGAATGACCAATCGCTGACCTTGTTGTACGACATATCAAGATATTGAAGGCTTTTGCCAAAAACCGGTACCTCCTTGGAAGGAGAGGACATGATGGTGGATATCAAGTTACCCTTCAGATGCAGATTTCGAAGGGTACGTATACTCGTAAGAGCAGCAATGTCTTCCAGTGATGTAAACTCGTTGAACTCCAGGTTCAGAGACACTAGTGTTGATGTGAAGGATACTGCTGGCGGGATGGGTGCGAGACTAGACAGCTGGTTTGTGCCGATTTCGAGAAGAGTCAAGGAAGGTAACTTGGAGGCAACATGACATATTTCAGACCAACTCAAGAGGGTTTCTCCGAGTTCGAGCTCCTTGACGCCCTTGAAGGCTTTATGCGGTCCATTGAGCTTGTCGTCTTCGATGACGTTTTGGAAACGATTTCCGCTGTTCAGTGTCAGTCTTCGTCACATCTTCGAATGGTTCGTAGCAGGCGGACTTGGCTCCGAAGAAGTTCACACAAAGAAAAAGGACATACTTGGCTCTTAAACTGTGCAAAGAATCCAACTCGGAGCAGATATCCACCACAGTACCGAAGTCGGTGAACAAGTTACGGCTGATATCCAGCTCGACGACCTTGGGACAAGTCTGGCGGATGGTCTGATGGTCTTCCCGGTCTGTGTCGTGTGAATATGCAGAGGTGATGCATGACCCATCAAGGATGACAATCTTCAGTTCGCTCAACTGGGCCTGCTTGCGGCGAATCTTGTCAAAGCCGACCTCCTCGGCAACCTTGCCACCGACAACGATTTGCTTCTCAGGCAGCATGGGCCCATTCTCAGAAGGCACGTCAGATGCATACTTGAGCTGGAGTGCAGAGAGAAAGGTCTGGGGTGCATCTGCCGGTCTAGTTGGACGGATGAAAGACGCTGCTGTCGCTGACTTGGATTTGCCTGAGATAGCGTTAAATGGCCGTACAGCCTGCGTATACACGGTAGGATGGGTGAACCTTACATGTAAAATATCGGATGCCCTTGTGCTGGCCAGCGTGTTTGCCGCGTGTCGGATCATCCCATTCAACTCCAAGCCATGAGCCAGTGGTGCCCTCGAGCTCACCAATAAACCGGACGGTGCACAGGGCGCCGTCGTAGGACCTTCTTTGGCCGATGTGAGGGGTAACGGAAGACATCTTTTGACAATATTTCGATAGACCAACGGTCACAAAATGCAATTGTCTGATTTGTAGTTTTTCTTTTTCCCCCTCCGCCGCTTGATGCACTTCGAGCTGTACCGCTAGACGAATGTTGATTGTCGAAAAGGATGTAATTTTGCAATGGTTGCTACCGATTTCTGTTCGTTCAAGTTGAGCGTGCTGTACAATACTTTGAAATGGAAGGCAGTGTCACTGTGGAGGAATGGTAGAGCGTCCCATTTGAGGCATCAAACCACTATTTGAATGCACCTAACTATCCTACAGTCCCGGACCAAAAATAAAACACGCTTACCCCGCAAACCCGCATTTCCCCCTTTTTCATTTTCTTTACTTTTCAACACCTTCTTTTCAAATGCCAGCCATTACCTCCAGCCCTATTAAAAAGCTAAAATTTAAGCATCTAACTCCTCGGAAGAGGAACCGAATTGCAGCAAGGTATCAAGCGGGCGTCACATCTACCACTATAGCCGTATATAAAGGCGTAACACCAGCCTTGGTCCGGGGCATTGCAAAGCGCTTTACCGCTTAGGACTATAGTATCTCTAAACCTAACCGTAGACAACCACTACTCCTTTCTAAGCGAAATAAAAGAGCTATCTTACGAAAAACTACTCTCGAGCCCTTCGTTTCTATCAGGGATTTAAGAGTTACGGCCTATCCTCATATCTCAACGCCCACTCTAAAGCGCTACCTCCGGAAAGAAAGCATTTTATACTCCTTAACCGTTACTCAACTATATTTTTCCCAAGAAACGGCTAGTACTAGATATACTTAATCTCTCGAGTATAGTAATAAACCTTTATCCTTTTAAAGGACGGTTTTATTTATAAATAAATCAACAGTAGAGAAAGGAACTAATAGAAGGAAATATTGGGTTTTCCGCCTTAAAGGTAAGAAAAGACTCCAGTAGCCTTTCTCTTCTCCTTTATTTAAAAATTAACTAAATTGTCTCATTTCAAATTTATTAGCTATTAATCCTAAGTATATTCAGGCCCGACACAAAAGATCTCGTCTTTTATAGATATTTTAAGGTACAATTCGCTATAGCGTTAAAAGTAACTTCGTTCCTTGCCCCGGAGACTCTAATGCAAAAAGAGGAAGTATTACGGCTCGAATTTATAAGGAGATTCTTAAAGAAGAGCTTCCTAAATTTATAGAGCCTCATATTACCTTTATATAAAATAATACGCCTATTTATACAGCGAGGATTATAAAAGATTAGTTCGAAGAAATATACTTCAAGGTATTAGCGTAACTGCTATACTCTCCCGATCTTAACCCTATTGAAAATCTATGGCATTTATTCAAAACTAGGATTGTCGAAAGACATCCTAAGCTCTCTGAAATACCAAAGAATTCCTAAGCATTAAAATTACTATCAGAGGTGGCTAAAAAGGAATAGTTAAACTTTAAAATTAATATAGTCAATAACCTAGTTAACAACATACTTCGAAGAGTATAGGCTATAGTAGAAGCAAAAGGCTAGTATACGAAATACTAAATAATACGTTTTATCCGCCTAGTTCTAAAGTACCTGTCTAACTATTTTCTAAGCTTTTTATAAGGGTCTGCAGTTGTAAGGTACAATGGAAGAAAGGTGGTCGTTGTCATGAAATTCGGAAAATTTGGAACGTGTTTTATTTTTGGCGCCCCACTGTAGGTGCAAGCCGCCGTAAGACCTACGAATTTTGGTGCCAAGAACTGGACAACATCAGCGGGCACCGCAACACCATAACACCGCATCACGAAACCTCCTGACAAATGCAAACATCGATTGGCGCCAAAACGATTAAGTTTAAGATGTCGCTGACACTAGAGATAAGTTTAAAAAAAATCCGCCCAGTTGTTGTTACTGCTGGCATCGTTATGGTATCATGAAATCTCTCTGCCATTTCCAATCATACAAACAGCAGCCGCTTGCTCATGCTTATATATACAACAATGACCACAGTTTCTCTTACAACTTGCTCTGAGGAGCAGGTCCGACGCACTTCATCAGGGCGCGTCCATTGCTGAGCACGACCTTACCACCCTCGATCTGGACCTGGAAACGTATCTCCTCCCAGCCATCCTTGATCTCACCAGTCTTCCACGCCGACGCAACAAGCTTATCACCACCACGGACAGGGCTGGTGAAGCGGGCCTGGTACTCCTTGATGTTGGCGGGGTCGCTACCGCCAAGGTGTTGGAGCAGGCCGTGGCAAGCCCAGTTCCACGAGTACAGACCGTGAATGATGACGCCTCCGAAGCCCATCTTCTTGCCGGGCTCGGGATCCGCATGGAGGGGGTTGTAATCGCCGTTTAGACGGTACAGAAGAGGAGTCTCGGGCGTCGTCTGGTTCTCAAACACAGCATCAGGCTTCTTGTCCTTGGGAGGGGGGAAGTTCTGGGTGGCGGGACCCTTAGGGCCGCCCCAGTTGCCCTGGTTGACGTAGAAGGAAGAGGTGTGGATGCGCGAGTAAACTTCGTTGTTGGCAGCATCTACGATATCGGTCTGGGTCTCGACGACAGAGCCCGGGCGACCCTTGTCGTAGACGCCGACAACCTTGGTCCGCGACTCAAACCTTTTGCCCTCAGAGGAGGTGGGAAGCTGCTTGAAGAATTCGATCCGGCGCTGTCCGTCAACGACACGAGCGGGGTCGAAGACAGGCACGCCGGGGATGGCAATGGACTTCTGGGCGGCGTAGAAGTCGACTACATCTGAGGAGTCGAGCTTGAAGGCTGCAAGGCCGTCAGTCATAATACATTGGAAAGCCTAGCGAGTATATGAAATACCTACACAGAGCCAAAGGATAGGTGGGAAAAGGAACAAAGTTGGGATGAAGCTCGTAAAGGAAGTGAAGCTCCTCAGCCTTGCATCCGATGGACTGGGCAAAGAGCAAAAGATCCCTCTTGCACCAAGAGACACTCTTGGGCGGGTATTCGAAACCAACTCCGGGGCCGGGCATTGTGAAGATCGTTGAAATTGCTCGTTTTGTGTGGCAAGGAGAGACACAAGAATGCGAATCGTGGGACAGAGGTTCGTCCGAGATTGGAATTACAAAACACAGATTCACAAACTGTCACGGGCTTTTATGTATCAACAGTCTCCCTGTCGCTTCTCGGACAAGAGAATCCCCTGGTTGCGGAGGTGGCACTGGACGGAAACCCGGGTTCGACTGCGATGCCGGTGAAGGGATGAGTGATGCGGGGGATAAGGCAGGCCGATAGTAGTGTACCTCGGCAGGCCTGAGCTACCTCTAACTAGAGAGGTTCACTGTGTGGGGTTGTGCCCGTGTCCGCATTCGCGACGGCTTCTAGGTTTCCCGTCTTAGACCGCAATATGGCGCCCTTTTGCGGCACTCGGGAGTCCTGTTCCTGATCGAAGAAAAACGTGAAAAGAGCTCATTGAACTCTTGGCCGGTGAATGAAGTCATATCCAAGGAGGCGATGTCGTGTCTACGTAAAATGTTGTCGACTGAAGCTCACCAAGACCCCAACGGTATGGAGACGATTGGCAGCCGGCCCTAAAAGAGGTTTTAAATGTTTCTTGTCTGCGCAGGTCTCGAAGGCTAGCGTTGCTGTCCACGCTGGGTTTTGATGGAGAGCGAGAAGTGGATGTCCCCCAAAAACAGGGGACACAAACCTTGATAAGATAAGCAATAACACCAAAAATTTCCAGACCACCGCCTCTCCAAGTGAAGGGGTCGTGAGCCCTCATCCAGGGTTCCCTTCATTGAATAGCATCATTGCCTTCGTCATCTCCAGCTGTTTTCCGGGCGCGTGATACCCTTTCAAGATTTCTTTCGGGAATCGTTTGCGCCGCTATTGTTCACCTACCAGCCACTCGCACGCAGTGAATGATTCTCTCGTCATTCATTTCAAAGTCAACACCCACTCCCCGACCGCATCACTTTGCCCTTCGGAATCTGGGTCTAGTCACAGCACCAGCAAACGACAAGGTCGGCCTCATAATGAGGAATATGGCTGGCAATAAGAGCAAGGCGGACGGTATGCGGCCAAAGGGGTCAGAAAAACGGACCTCCGGTGTGCAGAGCGCTTCGACCACCACCGAAACGAGCCGCTTTCTCTTTAAAACGGCAACAGCAACAACTGCAAAGACCGCACCTGCCAGCACTCCCAGAAACCCTTTCGTCTTGCCATCAGCTGCGCCCTCAACGGGCCCAAACCCTAGCATCACAACTACCATCACCACCACCACCGAAATAAAAACCCACAAGCCTCTTTCGAAAGAAGACTACCTTGCGCAAGCCGAGAGGCGGTATTTGGCCAGCCGTGCCAGAGCAGACGCTGAGCTCAGGAGATTGTACCAAACTCGCCCATTTGCCAAACGTGCTGTCAAACGTTATACCCAAAGGAGGTCACAGTGGGCGGAATCTAGGAGGCGATTGCAAAAAGCCGGCGCTTTCTTAGAGAACACCATGGGCACCTTCAGCAATGCTCATACTTTGAACAACTCAAGACCCAGCGCGTCTGCTTCTAAGCCTCTACGAAAGACGTCACCCAAAGTCTCACCAGAGCCATCGTCTGCCAAACCCCCGGCCCTTGTTCAGAACAGTTTCAGTATAGGGGACCATCCTGATGATGACTGCAGCAAAGCCCCCAGTGTCACCAGCAGCTCCGACGAGACTGTCAAGTCAGACACTAGGACGGTTGACTCACTTTCCACAAATATCACGACACCCGATTTGTCCGATTGTGACAGTTTGGTCAAATCTGCAACGAAGCTGACCAAGCAGAAGACGACATCATCATCAGCTGTGATTCCCCCTTCACAAACTCAACCCGATCTCGTCACAGAACAACCCAATCTGAAAGCGGAAAAGTTCAAAATCACAATCAACGTCGAACCCGTAGCTTCATCGAAGGAGTCCAAGTCGTCAGCCCAAAAAGGCAAAGAGGATGCGGTGCCAACAACCACCCACGGCTCTCTGACGCCAAAGAAGTCAGTTGACCAAAAGGGCGAGAAGAAGCAGAAATCGAGCAGCGACAAGGCGGACGGTCAAGAAATTCCGAAGGAGAAGAAGTCTAAGAAGCACAAGCGGGATGAAGAAATCGACAAGGAGGAAGGTGCCAGCGAGCAGCAGCCCAAGGCGAAAAAGTCCAAGACCTCAGCAGAGCCCCCCACATGCTCCGGTGCCGCCATGAGTCCTGCCTCTATCGACAAGTCATATAAACCCTACCCGAACGTGCCCCCAGAAATCAGGAAGGAGCTCTTCGTCATCAAGGCCGAAGAAATGCTCTTTAACCCGCTCGGCTATGATGATCTCGTCTACGATGACAACAGACCCAGGAGCAAGCGTCCGAAGTGGAGGAAGACTGGCCGCAACACAGGTCACAACGATATGATGATGTCCGGTGGTATCGGTCCTGCCGATCTCTCTTCTCCTTCCCACAAGTTGGGCAAGGGTGATGCCAACAAGAAGAACCGGTCGGACGGTGATGACAGTCTGTCGAAGCAGGTGCTTAAGAAGGGTCACAACAAGCGGGTTGCGGAGGAGGTTGCTTCGCTCAAGAAGTCCTCGGCGACGGCGGAGTCGGGGTCGAGTTTCGGCGAGAAGAGGGAGAAAGAGTTCAAGAAGAATAAGTACGGCCATCGGGATCAGCAGGGCGGGAAGAACTGGAAGCACAAGCCAAATCAGTCGGGAAGCTTGGCGGCTAAGTTCAGGAAGCACAAGTAACTGGAATGTTGCAGAAAAGTGACGAGCGGGAGAAGATCAGCAAAGTCCAAAATGGATCACTGACGACAGGCGAAGACATGAGGTCCAGAGGCTGCTTCATTCAAGTCTGACGGGAGAAAGATAATTTCCACGTCTGAGGACAGGAAACTTACCTTCTCTGCCTCTCGCCATCTTTGCCCACAATTCCATATACATGGCCAGGGCGGGAAGAATCAGACCGGTCCTCATAGACGGGTCACCCCCAGAGGAAGAATACGGGTGGTTGTTCTTTTCTACGACTGTTGCTCCAAAGCGCATGGTAGCATTTATAGTGGCGAGCGGAGGTTATTATTTGCATATTTGCTTTTATTTTGTCATTTGGCGCAGCGGTGGTTAAAACAAAGGCATATTCCTAGATGGACGGCAAGAAAGCAAAGAGGGGGCTAGATGGGCACAATACACGGCGGACTGGTGTGTGGCGTGGCGTAATCGCATTTGAAACCTTCGGAAGGCCGGTTTGGCAAGAATCATACTAGAGCTTCTTTTGCCTTTCCTTTTCATGTTCCAAGATTTAATGCCTCATCATTGCATGCCATATAGTCATTTGTCGGAATAGATACCCAAATTAGTATCGTCGCTCATATGTCAGCGGCGAGACAAGGGAGTTGTTGCTGGACGGAGAAAGTGTGCTATAGGCAACACATATCAAATGCTGCAGGAAAATTCATGTTGGCTTGTTGAATGGGAATAAAATGGAATCCATGACAGCCGCTCAAACGGGGCCAGCCATATGATGAGTACATGGAAGTAGGTAGTGAATCCCCCGAGCGTGGGGGAGCAAAGAAACATTGATGATTGTAAGTGACAAAGAGAGTGAGGTATCCTAATAACACGCCATATGTACCAAAAACATCCAGGAAAAAAAAGAGACCGGCCCGTATTCATATCCCTTGATCCCACTTGCCGTGGGCTGCTGATGGGAATCAACCATCAGCCCACCGATAACCTGATAACATTACGAAAGAGATCCTCCACCAATCACCGCTCGACAAGCAAGGAAAACACCTTAAAACCTCATCGCCCTCGCACGATCACATTCCTCCAGAAACTTATAAATGCCCTCTAACCCTTCATATCGGTCCTCCGTGCAGTGCTCACTAGAAGCACTCTTCAGAGACGGCGACATGCTCTCGTAACCTTCTGACTCTTCCGAAACAGCAGAGTGTTCCGATGCCAACAGCCACGGATTCTCCTCGATCTCCTCCGCGAACGCCTCATCGAGTTCCGAGCTCGCTGATGTGACCCTCGTCCGCACGGTCACGTTTGGTGACGTGAGTGCCTTGGAGCAGCCGTTGTCAGGGGCGTACGGAAACCGTAGCGCGACCTGGACACCGGCGTCCGCGTCGAAATCAGGATCCTCTCTGATGATTCCGCGCTGAACGCCAACGTCATCGCACAGCCGCTCAACCGTTTCGGCATCTACGCCCGGGAACCGGACCCTCAGCAGGTCGGCCCGCTCCAGAGAGATGGGCAAGTCACCCAGCCGAGCGAGAGCCTTCAAATCTGCCATGACGGCTGCGAGATCCTTCAGCGTGCGGGCGAAGTCCACTGAAAGGACATCGAGGAAATTGTCGGCAAGAAGGGTGGCGCCGGCGGTCTGGATCTCGGCCTTGACGCTCTGGGAAGAGGGAATCATGGCGCCCAAGGGGCTAAGGGCCGTAATGGCGGGGCTGATGTGGAAGTCGATGAACGAGCCCGGAGCGTGCGGCGCAACGGCGAGCTTATTACGTGCCTTCTCCTCGTCCACGCCAACGGCCCGGTACAGCTTCCGGCCGTCGGCCGAGTATCCGTCGAAGTGAGCCCTCTGACCAGAGAGCCAGAAGGCGCGGACAGCTTGGCTCACATTCTGGACTACTTGAGCCGGGGCGGCGGGTGTGTGGCTGAAGTACCGCTTGCCACCGGCACGGCCGGCCCCGGAGAAGGAGTAGCCGCCTGCGGTACGGGGGAGGGCGCCTCCGGTGAGGTTCGGTCGGAGGGTGGAGGCGAAAGGAGCCCGGCCGGGCGACGCAGCTACAGCCCGGGAAATGTTTGAGACCGGGAGCTTGGACCGGTCAAAGCGAGATTGACCACCGGAAGAAGAGGATTGTCTCCCGGCGGTATTGCTGATGTAGCGACGGACAGTGGCATTGATGTTGGTGTAGGTTGAGTGCCACTTTGCACCACCTCGGCCGCTCTTCTGCTGGCGAAGCCATGCGCTGGGATGAATGGGTTGGCGGCTGCTGTTGACACCACTACGTACGGCAATTGGCTGGAGTTGTTGGGCTGGATTCGATGAACGTGTCGCGGCGGCGGCGAGCTTCGAGCGAAGCATCTTGGACGTGCGAGCCAGATTCTTGCCGAGAACACGCAGGGCGGCGGTAGCCCACATGCCTCCCACGGCGGGAGACATTTTGCGTGGTTGTATCGAGATTGAGTGAGGTTTTTGTTCTCTCACTTCAAGTCTTCAAGATGACGAAAAATCCGATGATAATTATGTCGATGTTGCGATGTTCTGAGAGGAGGGAGGTGATGACGATTGAGGCGGGTGTGGTCGGGACGGGGGGATGTCAATGAATGGGAGGCCTTATCGATAAGGATTCGCCACCGCCAGCCGCGGACTGTTTACCTCTCGTGCACAGATGAGGCAGCTGAACGACTAACATGCAACTAAAAGAAGTTGAGCGAGAAGATTCAATGCTTCGATTGATGCATGGGCGAGCGGGCAGCTGGCAGTGCTGCGGCGGAGCCGAAACCTAGTGCAAATCCAGGTGGGGTTAAGCCTTTCCCTCGTCCCCAACCCGGCCCATCTTCTCAGCCGCCCCACACAGATTGGATTGCGGTTTTAAACCAAAAATTTCTTCTGAGCTCCAAGCTTCGACTTCCTTTCTTCTTCCCAACCAGGAAGTCTGGAGCGTCGGTCGCCTGCGCGACATCGGTATTTCGTCGCCGGTACCGATGCTTCAGACTTCAATCCACAGCGAGGTAAGCATTGCAACTTTTTATTACCCCTCACTGCCTGCTGCGCAGCCATTTGCTCCTGTGATGACCTTACACGAACAATCCAATTCTTACCTAGCCCATGGGGACTCCAATTTACTCTAGAATTACCCTGAGAGCAAGATTGGCAGCAAGGCTTGTTGGTAATCGCTTGGTCACGAACATGACGCTAACTTTCTTCAGTGCTGGTATTTGTCTAGAATGGCTCAAGGCGACCTGTCTGGTTGCTCTTCATGGTGTCATTTCTTCACACATCAAAAGGTTTGTTTCACCTTTTCTTTATCATCGCATCCCCTCCTCCTTGATGATCAACGTACAAAATAGGGAATTCCTCAAGCTTAATACATCATGTGGAATACTTTACTAGTTTCAGCCTTGTCTGATTGGATTCATAACTATTTGTTGCTTGTTTCATGATTTTGTTCTGACATCTTGCTAACTCGCGACTTTTCAGGTATGCTCATGGATCGCTTACTCCATTCTGGCACTATGACGAAGATTTGAACGAACGGGCGGACATAAATGAAGCCTCTTTGCCCTCGTCTATCAAAGCAGGACTGTACATCCTGTGGGCGAGGTGCAGGGAGAAATTCTTGTTGAGAATTCGTCAGCTGATTTCGTGCCCTTGCACCATCTCTTGTCAACACATCAGAGTGTCTTGGGATCTATGGACTAACATGCCGATCCGCAGGTAATAACTCTTGCGCATTCGTACTTTCTCTTTTATTATGTGATGAGACGATATTCACACTGTTTGACCCTCCTTCGGGTTGGAATGAACACTAAACAAAATCTGATTTAATGAGGTATGTTTTTTGGTCACATTCTCGTTCATGATGACATTTTGCTAACTGTTTCACCAGACTGAAAATAATACATTCAGAAATTTGCTTCGTTCGGCGTACAGATTTGTTGGCGGACGCTAACAGTTTCTCAGTTTTAGGCATCCCTTCAAGCGATTAGCATTGGGGTTGGTGGCGCTTGGGTGTTTAAGTGTTTGGGTAGCGACATCTGAATTGAAGCTCTTATTACTTCGATTTGATTCTAATCTGTTGCTGTTTACGCTTTTTCCCATGTGATGAAAACGTCTCGAGACTGCCGCTGTACGTTTATTTATCGCGTCAACTGCAACCTTGCGTTCCAGCCGACGATGCAGCGTATCAGATCCCAATCACCATTGTTCCCAACCCAATCCGTTACTACGATACCTGTCCCAGCATCGCCGACGGTAAGCTCACCCGGTTGCTTCTGAGGAGCTCCGTGATCCATACACAGATACTCTATCATGTGTGGGTTGATCTTGGCAGCGATTTTCTCGGGCCAGCAACTCGCATTGAAGAAGTTGCTGCCACTCAGAAAGTTGATAAATAGAGGCATCGGACCTCCAGCGGCTTCCGAATCCGGTATTCCAGACGGCCCATATACCTGCTGTGCCGCCCTCATCAACCCCTCCTTTGCGAACCCGATTTTCTTCTTTATGTGTTGCGTCTGCCCAACCTCGTAATAATCCTGAATCCGAATCCTTCCGCTCCCACACATCCCATCCGCGCAGTTATCCGGCCACACCGACCCATCAATTCCCATCCCCTCAGCCTGCAAACTCGGATCCAAGTGAAACCGCCTCACCAACACGATGCGCCCCCGCGCCTGCTCCAGCGTCGGGATCTCAGGTTTAAAATACCACCTATCCGGCGTCAGATAGTGAGCAGCCAGGTAAGTAGATAAGTTCTGGTCCGTCCCACGCCCCGTGCCTTCGCGCTTGATCGACATCAACACCGTCTCGGAAGGGTTGGCGTCCAGGAAAGCGTAGCACTCCGACAGCAAGTCGTGGAAGTACCTGGTTCCAGATAAAGCGACGGGGAAGGCGGAGTGGACTAGGCTGAGGTTGGGCGCTTTGGCTTTCTCTTTGTCTTTGCATGTCGGTTCCGGAGCCTGCGGCGACAGCTCAGGCTGGGGGGCGGGCGAGTTGGTGTCTGTCGGTGTCT